AGAGAGGAGAGCCTCCCCCGAGAGCTCTTGCGACGTCATAAAATAATATCAATTCAAACCGGGACGATTTCCTCAATCGCGAGCGAGATCGCGTGGAAAACGAGGGATAACCTCGATCCGATTTTAATTCGAAGGACCGCGACGGGGGGGGGGGAGGGGGGTCGGCGGAATTGTATTAAGAGCGCCGCAAATGTAATTGAGAGACATCCAATATAGCGCCGATCTCACGCGATCGGCTCTTCGCGAAAGCTCTTCATCAAATTCGCCTTCGATATTCACGAATTCATTTATTCGACTACTTTCAATCATTTTTAGAATATGCGCGACCAAAGCTTTCGCTCTCGGATCGATCGGATCGATTTATCGTTATTACTATGCTACGACTCAATTTTTATCTTGGACGTTGGTGTTATTTATACAAGAGAGAAAGACGGCAGACGAAGACAAAGAAAAGATTTCGTATACCAGTTCCGACCGGAATACCGACGTATACCAGTTTCCGCGGCATAATTGTTTTGGCACGATAATCTCGAGTTGTTCGTCGTTATTAAATTATCTTTGCCTCTGTAAAAATATGTCGGAGACGGCAAGTGGCACGCCGCATCGACGGATTTGATGAAAACGTGTGTATCTTGCATCGCTGTTTCGCCCATTTAGAAAATAATGAAAACACTTTAATTGCTCGTTATCGCTCGTGTCTCGTACTCCACGTGACATGACATGATAATCGGCTTTCTTCCCCCCTCTTGTAACGCTGTTTTTCCTTCCCGCCTTCTTTGTTTCCTATATGCTCTCGTCGTGTTATGCAAACAATATTGTTGAACGTTCTGGCCAGCGATAGAACGGCAAAATAGGACGGTCGTTGCGAAGAACGAGCGGCTAAACGAAACGCCTTATGAACTTAAACATAATACGTATAAAGCAAAGCCGAAAGAAGAAGGATCCAAAGGATTTTCTCAATATAGGAATAAAGAGAAATTATTTATTAGCGTTGATAATCTTTGTTGACATTTTTCCTTTTGGAAAAGGAAAAGAAAAGCGATCAGAAATTATATTTCTCTATGTATAATATCCATGTTTGTACTATATTGACTTGCTTAAGTCTCGATTTAATTTACTCTCTGTCTCTTTCAAATTTTTAGAAGAGAGAAAAAAAATAAAAAGTTTAACTGATAGATAAAAGTTAATTTACATTGACAGAAATGAAATATAAATCATTTTTCGAACACAACATTGAAATATCTGCTGGAAGTGTACGGAAAATTAATCCTCTTCGAGGTCTTCCTCTTCTCAATTTTTTTTTTTTTTTTTTCTTCGAATACGTGCCTCGTTGAATGATTCAACGTCAACGATTGAGTAAGAGCCGGCGTAGCGTGGCGTGAAAATTTCCACGTAACGATAATCGACCTTACGTTCGCCGCCACGCAGCCTGCGACCGCGCCGGATTGTTGCATTTAATCGCGGCCGGATTGTTTAACGGTGTCGTAGGCTATCGCCTGGACATCGTTATCGGCGATCTTGAAAGGCGCTCTTGCGACGATTCACGTGATTCGTCGCAACGGACGTTATGCGTGGACGTATGTATATGTATTGTCCGCTCGCTAATCCGCTAATCGGTCGGTAGTCCGTCCGATCGCAGCTAGCCAGAAGCCGTCATTTTACGGGAGATAGGCGTAATAGGCTTATAAACGCTGTATCGTATATATAACCGATAACCCAACGATTGACCTCGAAACGAACATCCGTGACACTGCCATTTCGGGCCCATTTACGCGTGAGATCGCGTTATGCGACCAATAATAATAATAATAATAATAATAATAATAATAATAATAATAATAATAATAATAATAATAATAATAATAATAATAATAATAATAATAATAACAACAACAACAACAATAACAATAACAATAACAATAATAATAATAATAATAATAATAATAATAATAATAATAATAATGTCTAATCTTATAAAGAAGAGATATACGTGATACTCCTCCAAAAAACTTTAGATATGCTAAATGATTAAAATATCTGAATCTTATCACCGTTGATTTATGACTGTGCGATTTTTTTATAATTAAATATTTGATTACGTAGATTAAACACACACAAAGAGTTCCTCCCGCAGAAGAAGGTATTAAATTTTTTTTCAAACATTTGAAACACTATGTGAATTAAATAAAAAGAGAAGAAATATATTAAAATTTTTTTTCTCTACTCTTACTGAGGCGGGCTTAAGGCCGACTATCAGCTTTATGCTATGAAGAATAAGCAACAGAAACGAAATAATAATAATAATAATAACAATTTTATAGAGCGAGAATACAAGTTTGATATTTTTTGCAAAAAACTAACAAGACACGCACAAGAAAAATATACCTGCAAAAGCGAAACATTAGCAATACTATTGTTGTAACGCTTGTTCATAATAAAGCGACATAAAATGATGGGAATAAAGTTATAGTAAATAAAAAACAATAATAAGAAATAAAAATAAAGTAAAAAACAAAAATTAAAAAGTAACAACAGATAAAACTGACGACGGTTAGGAATCTAACGTAATCTTAACGTTGCGGAAACAAATCTTTCTCAGAAAATTCGTCATCTATTTTTCATGAAAAAAGTCAATTATTTAATAACTTAATAATTCAACTCGTATATCGATTGTATTACATTGTTGAGAGTCTAAGATACTCCACGTGTATTTTCTGTTCGATTTCAAAAAGAGTAAGCGATCGTGCTTGAATTTTACGGTGACCCTGTAAAAATATAACACGACAATGTATAGTGCGCTTAGAAAAAAATTTTTGCCACGTGTATTTAAATACACAACTCCGTTGTGAGTGTCATCACACTCAATCGCATTATGTGCATCGGCTGCTACGCAATACGCGGAATACGAGAAAAACACACACTTATCCAAGTTCGATCTTGGGAAAGAATTAAATCGAAGGTCAAAGATCAGTTAGCATAGTTCATGCTGTGCATAGATAAACACGATATGTACGCACGTAATACTGTTACATTATCAAT